CTAATTAATATCTTATATCTTATAATTAATAAAGATATAATTAATAAAGTTAATAAGTATGTCTAATTTATAAAATTAATAAGTATATTTAATTTTATAAAATTGATATTTATATTAAGTTTATAGAATTGATAGGTATATTTGATTAATAAAATTCGTATGTGTATTTAATTAATACCATTAATATGTACATTTAATTTGAAAAATAAATACGTATATTTATTTAATAAAATTACTTCATATATCTAACTGAGAAAATTAATATGTATAGTAATGAAATTAGTTCATATATTTAATTTGAAAAATAAATACGTATATTTATTTATTAAAATTAGTTCATATATTTAACTGATAAAATTAATACGTATAATATAGTGATAAAATTAATTCATATATTTAATTTGAAAAATAAATACGTATATTTATTTAATAAAATTACTTCATATATCTAACTGATGAAATCAATACGTATATTTATTTAATAAAATTAGTTCATATATTTAACTAATAAAATTAATAAGTATAGTATATATTTAATTTGAAAAATAAATATGTATATTTATTTATCAAAATTAATTCATATATTTAACTAATAAAATTAATATGTATAATATAGTGATAAAATTAATTCATATATTTAATTTGAAAAATAAATACGTATATTTGTTTAATAAAATCAGTTCCTATATCTAATTGATAAAATCAATACGTATATATAGTGATAAAATTAATTCATATATTTAACTAATGAAATTAATACTAGTATAGTATAATATATAGTACAGAGATTATACTGAAGTATATATTATAAGTATATAATATATACTGAAAAAAATACTTGAAGATTTTACTTATTTAAAGATATATATATATATATATATATATATATATATATATATATATATATATATATATATATATATATATATATATATATATATGCTGAAAAAAATATTTATAGATTTTACTTATTTAAAGATACATATATATATATATACTGAAAAAAATATATAAATATTTTACTTACTCTATCGTACAAGGCAAAGACTCTTTCTATATCTTCCTTGGTCAGTTTCGATGCACCCTGGACCGGAAAATAAAATTGAAAATAATTATTATATTGATAAAGAATGAAGGAAAGAAAGGAAAGAAAAGAAAAGAAAAGAAGAAAAAAAAAATAGATTGGAGTTTAACTCTTGAGGATTTTTGTATTTGTTTTTTTTTTTTGTTCAAAGTTTTTTTTTGTTGGAAAAATAGAAGATTTTTTTTAAAGTTGACTAAAACGTCCATTTACATTTTTTTTTTTTTTTTTTTACTAGAATAGTTTACGTTAAAATCCTCATCCCGTTTTCTATGCCCTACAATATCATAAAAAAAAATATATATATTTTCTCATCCCTTTTTTTCTGCATAAATATATATAAAAAAAAGAAAAAAAAATCCTACATTCTCATTGTAAAAAAAAAAAAAAAAAAAACACGCAATACAAGGCAATATGCAAATTAGCTCTCTATAGTCCATACAAACAGTCCGTGGTAAAGCCTAAGATTGCAAAATGCAACTCCTAATGCAGATCAATTATCAATTGCTCCTTAATTACCTAATTAATTAAACTACATACACATAACAGGAATGGGGGGAGAGAGTTATCACATGCAGAAGGGAGACATAATTAATTATCAGAAATAGCACACTATTTTCGTAGTTAAGAGGAAGAAAATGGCAATATTCATAAATAAATGAATTAATAAATGTATATATATATATATATGTATATATATGTATATGTATATATATATATATATATATATATATATATATATATATATATATATATATATATATATATATATATATATATACAAACACATACACACACGCACACACATGTCTGTGTGTGTGTGTGTGTATATATATATATATATATATATATATATATATATATATATATATATATATATATATATAAATTTATATAAAGAAAATACCCTATCACGGTCCAATAAGAAGGGTTACGTATCTAAAAATAATAACTGATTTATTTTTATTACATATATATATATTTTTAAATTTTAGCGGAGAAAAAAAAGCTGTTAGAATTTTGTGTTTACATTTGATAAATTAGAAAAAAAAAAAAATCTATTATCGAAAATTCTGCCAAGGTGGTATACAGGCCTAAATAATATATATATATTTTTTTGTCCTATTCAAAAATTCGATTAAAAAAATCTAAAAAAAAAAGAAATTAACGAATCAAAAATCTATATTAAGGAAAAAAATGAAAAAAATCTGTATATAAGTCGCATATTTTTCATATATTTAGTCCAAGCTTCGTTTTCCTTTAAAAAAAAATCTACGGAAAAAAAACGAAAGAAAAAAAATGCAAATTTAAAACTATCCAAAAAAAAAAAGCATAAATATATATATAGAAAAAAATAACAACGGATTTTGAACAATCTACTTGTTATATACTTACATGTTATAACCAGGGGACAAACAGATGAACATTTTCAAAGAACAATATTTTGTTCTTCATAACAGGGAGAGAAAAAGGAGAAAAAATGAACAAATGCATGAAAATTGTTCACACAGAAGAGACAAGGCGATTTATGAACATGCGCTTGAACACGATAATGAACAAGAGTTGAGACACCGACTGAACATCCAAAAGGGAAAGTTTTTTTGAACAGGAGAAGAACAAAAAAAAAAAAAAAAAAAAAAAATGAACAGGGATTATATATAAAAAAAAGCCTGTTGAACACTTCATAACAGAATAAACAGTTGAAAAGGAAGATTTGAACAGATATGAACACTTCAAAAACAAGATTTGAACAGATATGAACACTTCAGAAACAAGATTTGAACAGATATGAACACTTTGAAAAAAAAATTGAACAGAATGAACAGTTAAAAAGAAGATTTGAACAGAATGAACACTTCAGAAACAAGATTTGAACAGATATGAACACTTCATAACAGATAGGAACAGTTAAAAAGGAAGATTTGAACAGAATGAACACTTTAAAAGCAAGATTTGAACAGATATGAACACTTCATAACAGAATGGACAGTTAAAAAGAAGATTTGAACAGAATGAACAATTGAAAATAACTTTTGAACTATAAAAGAGATGATATGACGATCTTAGCGCCTTAATGAACAAAATTAACAAGACTGAACAGCGAAAAGTGAACATTTTGAACAACAAGAACAACAGAAAAATTTGGGGGCATTCGTGAACACTCAATGAACAAGACTGAACACCGAAAAGTGAAACATTTTGAACAACTATAACAACTATTATTTTTTTGCATTCATGAACACTCAATGGACAAACTGAACACCGAAAAGTGAAACATTTTGAACAAAAAAGGAAAAAAAAGAAAAAAGAAAACACCCAGAAAATAAATTCATGAACACTTAAAATATTAACATTAAAATATTATCAGTTATTGTTATCTTTATCAATATTATCAGTTATTCTTATCTTTATCAATATCATCAGTTATTCTTATCTTTATCAACATCATCAGTTATTCTTATCTTTATCAATATTATCAGTTATTCTTATCTTTATCAATATTATCAGTTATTCTTATCTTTATCAATATTATCAGTTATTCTCATCTTTATCAATATTATCAGTTATTCTCATCTTTATCAATATTATCAGTTATTCCTATTATTATCAATATCATAATAATCTTTACCATTAATGTTATTATGACATATAATTATGAAGTAAATCATAATAGTAATAATAATGATAATTAAAATGATATCAATAACATAAATAAGCATAAATGATATAATGATAATGATGATAATAATAATTATAGTGATGATAATAGTACTAATGATAATAATAGAAATAATGATTATTATTATCATTGATATAATGGTAATGATAAAAGTAATGATAATAATGTTCATAATAATGATAATAGTAATAACAATATTCATAATAATAATAATGATAATGATAAATATAATTATAGTAGTAATAATATTAATGATAATAATTATAATAAAAAATATAATAATAATAATGATAATGATAATAATAATAATGATAATAATAAATATGATTTTAATAGTATTGATATTAATAATAATGATAATAATAAATATAATTATAATAGTAATAACACTAAGGATAATGATAATAATGATAATAATAGTAATTATAATAATGATAATGAAAATAATAGTAATAATAATAATGATAATAAAGATAATAGTAATAATAATAATAATAATAAAGATAATTATGAATATCATAATAATAATAATGATAATAATAATAATGATAATAATAATAATGATAATAATAATAATGATAATAATAATAATGATAATAATAAATATAATTATAATAGTAATAACAATATTCATAATAATAATAATGATAATAATAAATATAATTATAATAGTAATAACACTAAGGATAATGATAATAATAATAATGATAATAATAATAATGATAATAATAAATATAATTATAATAGTAATAACACTAAGGATAATGATAATAATAATAATGATAATAATAAATATAATTATAATAGTAATAACACTAAGGATAATGATAATAATAAATATAATTATAATAGTAATAACACTAAGGATAATGATAATAATAAATATAATTATAATAGTAATAACACTAAGGATAATGATAATAATAAATATAATTATAATAGTAATAACACTAAGGATAATGATAATAATAAATATAATTATAATAGTAATAACACTAAGGATAATGATAATAATAAATATAATTATAATAGTAATAACACTAAGGATAATGATAATAATAAATATAATGATAATAGTAATGATAATGATAATGATAATAATAATAATGATAATAATAAATATAATTATAATAGTAATAACACTAAGGATAATGATAATAATAAATATAATTATAATAGTAATAACACTAAGGATAATGATAATAATAAATATAATTATAATAGTAATAACACTAAGGATAATGATAATAATAAATATAATTATAATAGTAATAACACTAAGGATAATGATAATAATAAATATAATTATAATAGTAATAACACTAAGGATAATGATAATAATAATAATGATAATAATAATAATGATAATAATAAATATAATTATAATAGTAATAACAATATTCATAATAATAATAATGATAATAATAAATATAATTATAATAGTAATAACACTAAGGATAATGATAATAATAATAATGATAATAATAAATATAATTATAATAGTAATAACACTAAGGATAATGATAATAATAAATATAATTATAATAGTAATAACACTAAGGATAATGATAATAATAAATATAATTATAATAGTAATAACACTAAGGATAATGATAATAATAAATATAATTATAATAGTAATAACACTAAGGATAATGATAATAATAATAATGATAATAATAAATATAATTATAATAGTAATAACACTAAGGATAATGATAATAATAAATATAATTATAATAGTAATAACACTAAGGATAATGATAATAATAATAATGATAATAATGATAATGATAATAATAATAATGATAATAATAAATATAATTATAATAGTAATAACACTAAGGATAATGATAATAGTAGTAATGATAATAATAATAATAATAATAATAATAATGATAATAATAAATATAATTATAATAGTAATAACACTAAGGATAATGATAATAATGATTATAATAATCATAATGATGATAATAATAATAATAGTAATAATAATAATGATAATGAAAATAATAGTAATAATAATAATGATAATGAAAATAATAGTAATAATAATAATGATAATGAAAATAATAGCAATAATGATAATTATGATAATAAAATGATAATAATAATAATGATAATGAAAATAATAGTAATCATAATAATAATAATAATAATAATGGTATCTTGTTATTATTATTTTTATTATTATTATTAATTTTCTAATATAATACAAGTTACATTTCGAGAGAGACAAACAGACAAACATACAAACACCATATTTCAAAAACACAATAATATCAATAAATAAAACAATCTAATTCTAGATTTTTATTCTTTATACAAGTTACCCTTAAAAACATTCGTGGCAACAGCGAACAGAAAACGGATAGACAGACAAACAAACTACATACCTTAAAAAGCACAGAAATACGTATTTATATATATTTTTATTAAATACATTACCCTTCAAAGAAAAGAAAATACCTTTTTTTTATACGTGACGATAAACTGAATAATAATAATAACAATAATAAAGAAAATTCAAATTCCTATTTTTTTTATATGAGTTTCCCTTTAAAAAAAAAACATGACAACGAACAGAAAACGGACAGACAAACGAACAAACAAACACAGAAAACAAACAACACACTTAACAAAACACTAATAGAAATAATTTCTTATACACAAAATAAGCAAACAAACTTTACCTTTTCTTTTTTTTTAAGTTACCCTTAAAAAAAACAAACAAACACGTGACAACGAACAGAAAACGGAAAGATAAAAATTTATATAAGTTACCCTTAATATTTTTTTTTTTTATAAAAGTCACCCTTAAAAAAATAAAAAAAAACACGTGACAACAAACAGAAAACAGACAGACAAACAAAAAACATACTTTAAAAATAAATATATATATATATTTAAATTACAACTTAAAAAACAAACTACCCCTAAAAATATAACAAAAACACGAGACAACGAACAGAAAATGGATAGACAAACAGAGAACATACTATAACATAACAGAGAACATACCTCAACTTACCCTATTTTTTTTTTTTTTATACAAGTCACCCCTAGGAAAACACCTTTTCTTTTATACAAGTCACCCCTAAAAATATATAAAAAACCACGTGACAACGACCAGAAAACGGATAGACAAACAGAGAACATACTATAACATAACAGAGAACATACCTCAACTTATCCTATTTTTTATACAAGTTACCCCTAAAAAGAACTTTTTTTTATACAAGTCACCCCTAAAAAAACTTTTTTTTATACAAGTCACCCCTAAAAACCACATTTTTTAAAAACAAGTCACCCCTAAAAATATATAAAAAACCACGAGACAACGAACAGAAAATGGACAGACAAACATAGAACAAATACAAATACTTTAAATATAACTTACCCTAAAAAAACCCACTTTATCTATACAAATACCCCTTAAAAAACACCTTTTTTATATACAAGTCACCCCTAAAAATATATAAAAAACCACGAGACAACGAACAGAAAACGGACAAACAAACTTAGAACAAATACAAATATTTAAAATACAACTTACCCTAAAAAAAACACTTTATCTATACAAATACCCCTTAAAAAACACCTTTTTTATATACAAGTCACCCCTAAAGAAACACCTTTTTATACAAGTCACCCCTAAAGAAACACCTTTTTATACAAGTCACCCCTAAAAAACTTTTTTATACAAGTCACCCCTAAAAAACTTTTTTTTTTATACAAGTCACCCCTAAAAAAACCTTTTTTTTATACAAGTCACCCCTAAAAATATATAAAAAACCACGAGACAACGAACAGAAAACGGGGAAGGGGGGATCCAAGCATGTCTGCAGTGTAACCAACGTCTACCACGGACCCGCAGGCAGTGTTGCCAAAAAAGAGGTTGGAAATCCTTACCTGGCTTACCTTAAACACTGATCTGCATAGGAAATTTTCCTTAACTGGCAACAGTCTAAAAAGGATAAAAAAAAAAAAAAAAAAATAGGAAGAGAGAGGGGGGGAAAAATAGGTGTGGGGGGGTGGGGTGGAGGGAGGGGGAAGGGGAGAGAAGAAAAGAAAAATTATTAATTATTAATTGGTTGTGAAGTGATTATTATTATTATTATTATTATTATTTTCTTCTCTCTCTCTCTTTCTTTTTCTTTTGTCCGTGTTTCGTCTTCTTTCTCTTTCTCCTCCTCCTCCTTCTCCTCTTTATCTTCCTCCTCCTCCTCCTCCTCTCCCTCTCTTTCTCCTCCTCCTCCTCTTCTTCCTCGTCCTCCTCCTCCTCTTCTTTCTCTTCCTCCTCCTCTTTCTCTTCCACCTCCTCCTCCTCCTCCTCTTTCTCTTCCTCCTCCTCCTCCTCTTTCTCTTCCTCCTCCTCCTCCTGCTCTTTCTCTTCCTCCTCCTTCTTCTCCTTCTTCTCCTCCTCCTCCTCCTCTCCCTCTCTTTCTCCTCCTCCTCCTCTTCTTCCTCGTCCTCCTCCTCTTTCTCTTTCTCTTCCTCCTCCTCCTCCTTCTCTCACTCTCTTTCTCGTCCTCTTTATCCTCCTCCTCTTTGTCTTCCTCCTCCTCCTCCTCCTCCTCCTCCTCCTCCTCCTCCTCCTCCTCCTCTTTCTCTTCCTCCTCCTCCTCCTCCTCTTTATCTTATCACTAAATTTATCAGTTATGTTATCAAAAACTCTTTTATACTAATTTTGTAAAGAATATAGAGAAAAAAACACGATAAATTACTGATAAAAATATATAAATAAAAATAGCATTATATAACAACTTGAATAACATTAATATTTGATATGCACATGCACGCACACACACACACACGCACACACACATACACACACGCACACACACACACACGCACACATACATACACACACGCACACACACACACACACACACATTCACGCACACACACACGCACACGTACACACATACACGCACACACACACGCACACACATACACATACACGCACACACACACACACACACACACACGCACACACACACATATATATACATTTACATGACTCTCTCTTTCTGTCTGTCTGTCTATCTCTCTCTCTCTTTCTCTCATTCTGTCTGGCTGTCTGTCTATCTATCCCTATCTCTCTCTCTCTCTCTGTCTCTCTTTCTCTTTTTTTTTGTCTGACTGTCCTCTATCTATCCGTATCCCCCCCCCCCTCTCTCTCTTTCTCTCTCCCTTTTTTCTCTTTTTTTGTCTGTCTCTCTATCTATCCCTATCCCCCCCTCTCTCTCTTTTGTTCTCTCTTTTCTCTTCCGTCTTCCTTCTTTCTATCTGTCTGTCTCTCTATCTATCCCTATCTCCCACCCCCCTCTCTCTTTCTCTCTGTCTATCTCTCTATCTATCTTTCTCTCTTCTTTCCTTACTCTCTCTCTCTTCCCTTACTCTCTCTCTCTCTCTCTTTCTCTCTTTCTTTCCCTTACTCTCTCTCTCTTCCCTTACTCTCTCTCTCTATCTCTCTCCCCCCCCCCTCTCTCTCTCTCTCTCTCTTTCTCTCTCTCTCTCTCTCTCTCCCCCCCCTTCTCTCTCTCTCTCTCTCTTTCTCTCTCTCTCTCTCTCTTTCTCTCTCTTTCTCTCTCATTCATACAAATCTAAATGAAAAACAAGAACGGAAAGTCAAAACAGAATTCAAAGACGAAAAAAAAACATACAAAAAAAATAGAAAAAAATGCATCACTTACTTGGCCATTTCTGAAAGCTGAAGTTTCCCGTCCTTGTTCTGGTCAAAAACTTGAAGCTGAGAAATTGAGAAAAATAAAATAAAATTATATGCAGGGTCACTATAAGTCTTTTTTACATATTTATAATGATTTTTATTCATTTTTTATCAAATTATTGGATCTGTCATGAATTTATTTCCTTTCTCTTCGTTAATCTATCTATCTATCTAAGCTAAGAAAAATTATTTATATTCAGGGTCACTATAAGTCTTTTTTACATATTAATAATGATTTTATTAAATCTTATCAAATTATTGAATCTATCATGAATTTATTTCCTTTCTCTTCGTTAATCTATCTATCTATCTATCTATCTATCTAAGCTAAGAAAAATTATTTTATATTCAGGGACACTATAAGTCTATTTATATATCTAGAATGATTTTATCATTTTTATAAAATTAAATTATTGAATTGAAAATCGATCTATCTATCATTAATTCATTTACTTTCTCTATCTATTTATCTAATCTATCTAAGCTGAGATTTTTTTTTTATATTTAGGGTCACTATAAGTCTGTTTATAGATTTTATCAATTTTTAAAATTTAATTATTGAATTGAAAATATATCTATCAGGATTTTTTTCTTTCTTTCTCTTTCTTAATCTATCTATCTATCTATCTATCTATCTAAACTGAATAAAAATCTTTATATTAAGAATCCCTATAATAATATTTACATATCTATAAAGATTTTATAATAAAAAAAAATAAATAAAATGAAAATCTATCATAAATGTATTTCCTTTCTCTTCATTAATCTATCTATCTATCTATAATAATTATAATAATAATAATATTAATAATAATTACTTACCATGGTATCTGTGTACTCGATAAGCTTATCTTCTGAAACATCTTGGTCTTTCTTCGCTTCTTTGAGAAGATCTCGGAGGAAATTCTGCGTTTATTTGAAAAAAAAGAGAGAGAGGGAAGGAAAAAGTTGCTTTAGTTGGGTTTTCCCTTAAAAAATTCAGTTCGTTTTCTTTTCTTGTGATTTGATAGAAAACGAGGAGTTGTTTTATCATTACTTTCCCTTAAAATCATTTTTTTTTTTTTTGCAATAAATACTTCTCTTTTTATCTTTTTATTTTATTTTTTTATATTTCTATTTTATTTGATTTTCGTCGTTGACATTAATAATATAATTATTAATTCAATTTCAATTCTTATTACTTTGAATTATCGTCATGATCCCTATATTCATAATTAAATAAAATCATGTTTTTTTATTATTATTATTACTATTATCATTATTATTATTACCTTTATCATTATCATCATTATCATTATCATTATCATCAGTATCCTTATTATTATTATCATTATTATCATTATTATTATTATTATTATTATTATTATTATTATTATCATTATCATTATTCCTGTTTTTATATTTTATATTACTTTTTTTTTTTTTTTAACAATTATTTCATTTAAAATAATTTTTGAAAATTTGGCTCCAAAACATTAACTTTAAATCTATTAATATCAAGAAAACCTGCTAATGAATTTTATATAATTATATTAATAAATTTTTAAAATTAATGATGGTGGTTATTTTATCATTATTATTATTTATTTGAATTATATCGTTATCATCATATTCTCTCTCTCTCATATTTATTATAATTATTATCATTATTTTCCTTTCTCATTCTCATTAATTTAATATTAAATCAATATTAACATTAATATTATTTTAATATTATCATTATTGTTAATTTTATCCTTATGATTAATACTATCATTATAATTATCATTATTATTGTCATTATAATTATCGTTATTATTAATATTATCATTCTGATCAGCATTATTATCAATATTATCATTATTATTAACATTATCATCATTTTACTGTTATTATTGTCTTTATTATCACTATGTTATTGTTGTCTTTATTATCACTGTTTTTATTGTCTTTATTATCACTGTTTTTACTGTTATTATTGTCTTTATTATCACTGATTTTATTGTCTTTATTATTACTGTTTTTACTGTTATTATTGTCTTTATTATCACTGTTTTTATTGTCTTTATTATCACTGATTTTACTGTTATTATTGTCTTTATTATCACTGTTTTTACTGTCTTTATTATCACTGATTTTACTGTTATTATTGTCTTTATTATCACTGTTTTTACTGTTATTATTGCTATGTTATTTTGCATTACTGTTTTATCATATAATCATCAATTTTATTATTTCAACAATCATTAATTTTATTGTTATTATCATCAATATCATCATTATTATTATCATTATTAGTATATTATATATATATATTTTTTTACAATTATGCTTATTATCACTAATATTTTACTAGTTTACATATTGTTTTGTTTTATCAAGGTTATTATTACTATCACTATCTTTCATAACTATTATGATTAGTATTAACATAATTATTATTATCATTATTATTATTATCTTTATTATCATTATCACCATTATTCTTATGATTATTATCATCATCATTATCATTAATATTGATATTATCATTATCATTATTATTATTATCAGTATCATCACCAGTATTATTAATATCATCATTATTATTATCATTATCATTATTATTATTATCATTATCATCATTAGTATCACTATCATTAACATTATTAGTATCATTATCACTATTATTAACATTATTAGTATCAATATCACTATCATTATCATTATTACTATTATTATCACTATCATTATCATTCATAATATCATTATCATTATTATCATCATAAATATTGCAAATTTTAAGGCAATCTTATGCAACACATTCATTAAAGAAAATATTTGCATTTCATAATATCAATTAAGTGGAAAAAAATTATCATTACAGTAAATCATGCAGATAAAATTATTAGTATTATTATTAATATTATCATTATTTTAGAGAGAGAAAAAAGCATTGTATTAAATATAGTAGACTTTATATATATAAAAAAATAAAGTTATTATTTTTGTATATGGATGAAGATAGGAGGTAGTAACAATATATATATATATATATATATATATATATATATATATATATATATATATGAAACCATAACAATATATATATATGAAATAGTAACAATATATATATATATATGTTGATGAAACCGTAACAATATATATATATATATATATATATATATATATATATATGAAACAGTAACAATATATATATATGAAACCATAACAATATATATATAAGACATGACAATATATATATATAGTTATACATACAAATATATATATATATATATATATATATATATATATAAAAATGCGTACGTACATATATATATATATATATATACATATATATATATATATATATATATATATGTACGTACATATATACATATATATATATATATATATATATATATATATATATATGAAACCGTAACAATATATATATATATATGAAACCGTAACAATATATATATATATATAAGAAAAGGCAACAACATGTATATATATATATGAAACAGTAATAATATATATATAGTTATACATACATACATGCATATATATATATATATATATATATATATATATATATATATATATATAAATACATATATACATATAAATACATATACATATATATATATATATATATATATATATATATATATATATATATATACGTATACGTAAATATAAAATGGGTTCCAAACGAAAAAAAACAAAAAACAAAAAAACAAGGAATGGAAAGTTTAGAAACGCATGCACGATTTCATTAAAGAAAATGGAATCCTTGTAATGAAAGAAAATTCATAATCAAAGAAAATGGGAACAGGATTTATTGATGCAGTAACTGTCCTATTTTGTTTGGTTCTTTTTTTTTCTTGTGTAAAGTTGCAATTGCATTCCATATTTGCAATTGATTAATAAACAAACTATTGGAGAAGAAATAAGTTAATTATGTTATTTTTTAACTTGCATGCTCTATGTAGCATTTCAAAATAGAGATAAATATATAGATTAAAAGAAATATTATATATATATTTATATGTATTAATTAACTTTTTTCGCTTTTTTAGTTTATTTTTTTTTATTCATTTTCTTTTTCTTTATTATTCTCCTTCTTTTTCTTCTTCTTTCTCTCTAATTTCTTCTTCTCTCCCTCTTCCTTCTTCCTTTTCTCTTTCTCTTTCTTCTTTTTTCCTCTTCTTCTTATTATTATTTTTCTCCTTTCTTTTTCTCTTTCTTCTTCTTCTTCCTCTTCTCCTTCTTCTGTTTCTCTTTCTCTTCTTTCTTTCTTTCTCTCTCTCTCCATCTTTCTTTTCCTCCTTCTTCTATTTCTTTCTTCTTCCTATTCTCTATTCTTCTTCTCTTTCTTTATTCTTTTTCTTCTTCTACTCCTCCTCTTCCTTCTTTTTCTTTATTCTCTTCTGTCTTTCTCTTTTTTCTTCTTCTTCTATTTCTCTCTTCTTTCTTTTTTTTCTTTCTCTCCTTCTTCCTTTCCCTCCTCCTCTTCTTCTTCTTTCTTCGCTTACCTTCCTATCTCTTTTTACTTATTTTCTCTTTCTCTTTCTCTTTCTTTTTTTTTGTGTTTTTTTATCTTCATTTCTTCTCCATTATTTTTAATTTTATATTTCATTATTATTTCATTATTTTTTTCTTATATTTCATATTCATATTTTCTATATATTTTTTTCATCCAAATTAAAAAAAAAAATCTTTTATTAACTTTTTTCTCGAGACGATTTTTTTTCATATACAAAAAAAAAGAAGAAGTTATATATATATATATATATATATATATATATATATATATATATATATATATATATATATATGTTTCTATATATATGTATGTATCTATAACTTTTTTCATAACTATAATTATTCATATTTTTGAAACAAAGATATTATATATAGATAAATTATATATTTATGTATGTATCTAAATGTTTTTTTTTTTTTTTTTTTTATCATACGTATAACTATTTATATTTTATAGACAAAGATATCATTCTAAAAGGAAGCATAAATATCGAGAATATATATTGAGAATAAAGATAATGATGCTAATAATAATAATAAAAAAAATGATATGCAGAAGATATATGTTTATAAGCGGAAAAAAAATTGTGGAAGAAAAGATTCTCAAAAATGCAAAGATTTTTTTTTTTTTTTTTCTTTTTTAAGGAAGCTCATCTTTCGAGAAATCTGTTTTTTTATGTGTTTTTTTTATTTTGTTTTATTTTTTTTTTTTTTTAGTTTCTTGAAAATCGTGTATAAAAAAAGAAAAAAAATGTATATATATATATATATATGTATATATATATATATATATATATATATGTATATATATATATATATATATATATATATTGTAAGTGTGTGTGTGTGAGAAGATAACGCTATCTTTATTTTTATTTTTTAAATAAATTTACGTTATTTTGAAAGATGAGAAATTCGTAACCGCCATTTTCTTTTTGTAATTTTTTGAATTCTATTTTACAAAATAGAATTTAAAAAAAATACAAAAAAAAAAACTTGTTTCTAAAATCATGAAATTTTGAAAAAAAAAGAAAAAAAAAAGTGAGGGAGGGAGGGAGGGGGGGAGGTGAAGAAATTTTGGAAAGAAAAATGAAAAAAAAAAAATCTATAATTTCGAAAATACCTATTTCATAATCTTATCTAATTCACATATTTCCTCTAAACTCAACTATACCAAACTACTTCACAATAAAAGCCACAATATATATATCTTTTCTTAAACGATTATATTAAGCACGTTTCCACTACATTCATAAATCTACTTTTTTCTGAGAATTAATTTAAGCACGTTTCCACTACATTCATAAATCTACTTTTTTCTGAGAATTAATTTAAGCACGTTTCCACTACATTCATAAATCTACTTTTTCTGAGAATTAATTTAAGCACGTTTCCACTACATTCATAAATCTACTTTTTCTGGGAATTAATTTAAGCACGTATCTACTTTTTTATATCTACTTTTGTCAAACACTTAATCTACTATTTAATCTACGACACGGAAAGCATTCTACTGTGTATAATAACTATTTTTTTTATCTAATAAATTCTCTTTTCTTTGTTCATTGCAATTTAGATAACTTTTGAATTAAATAAAAAAAGATATTTTATTCATATTCGAATGATGACTGAATAACTTGAATTCATAATTGAAAAAAACTATGAAATTAATCCCAATCTATCGAAAAAATACGATTTTTTTCATCATTATTATTAAGAAATTCATTCCAATCTATTAAAAAAAAATTACGATTTTTTTTTCTTTTTTTTTTTTTTAGGGAATTAAAAATAATCATAACCGAAAGAGATTAAAAATAATGTTTTATTATCATTATTATTATTAATTTTTAAGAGTTATGATTATTTCTTTGAATATTTTTTTTTCGGTGCAGATCCGTGGATTACATAATAACAAGCTTAATAACTTTTATATAAAAGTGCATTGTGCTTTTTTTTAATGGAAGCTCATCTTGTTAATTCTTAATTTCTTTCAAAAATTATGGAATTATATATTCATCTATTTATGTATATATATATATACCCACATATATGTATATACATATATATATCCGTATAAATGTAAATGTATATACATATATATATACACGTATATACGTACATATAGGTAATTATATATATATGTAAACTTTTAATCACCGTTTTCTTTACCACAAGATGAGTCCCTTTTCTTGAGCACGTTTTTAGGGGGTAACTAGCGTGAATCTCTCTCTCTCTCTCTTTCTCTGTGTGTGTGTCTACAGTGTGCAAAATTATTATTAATTTAGCGGGTTTCTAGAGCATCTCAAGGCGTTATATACACATTACATTACATACAGTCCTACAGTGCACAAACATACACACTCACAAACATACATATGTCTATGTATATGTATCTGTAGCTGTGTGTGTGTGTGTGTATGTGTGTATGTGTGTGTGTATATGTATCTGCATGTGTTTATGTGTGTGTATCTGTGTTTGTGTGTATATGTGTGTGTGTGTGTATCTGTGTGTGTGTATATGTGTGTGTGTATGTGTGTGTATGTATCTGCATGTGTTTATGTGTGCGTATATCTGTGTGTGTGTGTCTGTGTGTGTATGTGTGAAAACGAAAACAGTCACAGTAAGAAATTGAAATAAATCGTAAAATAAATTCGAACTTTGGACGAATAATAAACCAAAATGGATCCATTTCGGTTTAATTTTTCGCCTGAAGATGAAATGTTCGAAACGTCATGATTTAATTTCATTTCATTTGTTGTTTTTCTTTTCGTTTTTTTATGTATACATTAATTTGTTTGTGTCTGTGTCTATGTGTGTGTGCGTTTGTGTGCGTATGTGCGTCTATGTGTGTTTGTCTGCGCATGTGTGTGTGTGAAAGTGTGCATGTGTGTGTCTGCGTGTTTTTGTGTGTGTGTGTGAAAATGTGCACGTATATAAGTATGTGTATGTATGTGTACGTGAATTGTATGTACGTATATATCCTCGCCTTGGAAGAACCATTCAAATTAAATTAAAAAAAAAAAAGAAAAAAGAAAAAATCAAAAATACGTTTCATTCGCTAAACACGATGCGTCAATATAAACCAATTCTCTCTCTCTCTCTCTCTCTCTCTCTCTTTATCGCTTTCTCTCTCTCTCGCTTTTACCTTTAATTCGTCTGCCTCAATAAAACCACTGTTGTCTTTGTCGTAAGTTTTCCAAATCTGGAACAAGTAAATTTTTTTTTGTTTTTGTTTTTGTTTTTCTTAAAAATCTGTCTCGGGGAAACGAAATAAGAAATAAATGAAGAAAGAAATAGATAGATAAATAAAGAATGAGGGAGAGGGATAGGAGAGAGAAATAACAGAGAAATGAATGAGAAAAAGGGAAATATTGAAATGGAAAATGGAGACGAGATAAAGAAAACGGAGAAGATAAGAAAGAAAACGGAGGCGAGAAACAGAAAACGGAGAAGATAAGAAAGAAAACGGAGAAGATAAGAAAGAAAACGGAGAAGATGAGAAAAGAAAACAGAGATGTAAGAAAGAAAACAAAAAAAAAAAAGAGAAAGAAAGAACAACAATAATAAAAAAAATATAGAATAAAAGAAGAAAAATAAAAACAAACTCTTTCCCAATCAAGGAAAAGAAATAAAAAAAGAGGAAAATGGTTAATTTACATAAATTCACACAATTTCCTTACCTTCAGCTCTACAGAATCAATATAGCCATTGTGGTCAGCGTCATAATGTTTCCAGATCTGAAATAAGTAAATTTATTTTCGGATGTGAATAGGAGGAAGAAGGAAGAAGGAAGAAGGAAGAAGGAAGAAGGAAGAAGGAAGAAGGAAGAAGGAAGAAGGAAGAAGGAAGAAGGAAGAAGGAAGAGGACGAGGACGAAAGGAGGCAGGGAGGAGGGAAGGAAGGAAGAAGGAAGAAGGAAGAGGGAAGAGGACGAAAGGAGGCAGAGAGGAGGGAAGGGAGGAAGGAGGAAGGAAGGAGGAAGGAAGAAGGAAGAAGGAAGAGGACAAAAGGAGGGAGGGAGCAAGGAAGGAAGAAGGGAGGAGAGGACAAAGGAAGAAGGAAGAGGACAAAAGGAGGAAGAAGAGGACAAAAAGAGGAAGAGGACAAAGGAAGGAGAGAAGAGGAAGGAAGGAGGAAGAAGAAAGAAGGGGACAAAGGAAGGAGGAAAAAGAGGAAGAAGGAAGAAGGAAGGAAGGAAGGAGAGGAAGAAGGAAGAAGGGGACAAAGGAAGGAGAAAGAAGAGGAAGAAGGAAGGAGAGAGCAAAAAGAGGAAAGGAGAGGAAGGGAGATGGAAGAAGGGAGGAGGAAGAGAACAAAAGGAAGGAGGGAAGAGGAAGAAGGAAGAAGAGAAAAGGTGGAAGAGGACAAAGGAAGGGGAAGGGAGGAAGAGAAGGACAAAGGAAGAAGAGGAAGAAGGAAAGAGGAAGGAAGAGAACAAAAGGAGGAAGAGGACAAAGGAAGGAGGGAAGAAAAGGGAGAGGAAAGAGGAGGAAGAGGAAGAAGGAAGAAGAGGACAAAAGATGGCAGAGGAAAGGAGAGAAAGGAGGAAGAAGAGGACAAAGGAAGGAGGAGGGAGGGAGAGGACAAAAGGAGAAAGAAGAGGAAGATGCTGAGGAAGGAAGAGGAGGAAGAAGGAAGAAAAGGAGGAAGAGAAAGAAGAGGAGGACAAAGAAGGAGAAAGAGGAGGAAAAGGAGAAGAAGGAAGAAGAGGAGGAAGGACTGAGGAAGAGGAAGGAAGGAAGAAGAGGAGGAACGGAGGAATAAGACGGAAAAGGGAAAGAGGGAAGAGAAATAACGAAGAGGAAATGGGTGAAAGGAGAAAAGAGGGAAGAAAGGAAGAAGAGGAAGAAAAAGAGGGAGAGGAGGAGGAGGAGAAAAAGAGAAGAGAAAGGGAGGAAGAGAAAACGAAGGAGGAAGGGTAGAGAGCAAGAGGAGGAAGTGGAGAAGAAAGGAAGAGAAAGGAGGGAAATAAGACGAAGAAGAAGAGGGAGAGCAAACGAAAGAAGAATAGAAAAGAAGAAAGAGAAAATAGAAAAGGAAGAGAAGAAGGAGGAAGAGGAGGAGGAGGAAGAGAAACAGGAAAAATAAGCGAGAAGGAAAAGAGAAAATAAAAGTAGGGAGGAAGAATAAGAGAGAAGGAAGAGAGAAAATAGAAAGAGGAAGAAAAAAGATAAAAAGAAAACGGGAATGCCATGTTCCCGGTATAAGAGAAAATGGGTATAAGAGAAAACGGGCAAAAGAGAAAACAGGTTTAAGAGAAAATGGTTATAATAGAAAACGGGGAAAAAAGAGAAAACGGGTTTAACGGGTTTAAGAGAAAATGGGTATAAGAGAAAACGGGTAAAAAAGAGAAAACGGGTGAAAAGAGAACACGAGTTTAAGAGAAAACGGGCGAAAAGAGAAAACGGGGAAAAAGAGAAAACGGGTGAAAAGAGAAAACGGGGAAAAAGAGAAAACGGGTGAAAAAGAGAAAATGGAGAAAAAGAGAAAACGGGTGAAAAGAGAAAACGAGTGAAAAAGAGAAAACGGGAAAAAGAGAAAACGGATGAAAAAAAGCCATTGGAGAGGAGTAACTCTTGTAGATTCTCGTAGACGTAGAACTGGTCAGAGCTTAAAGATTAGTAAGTAAAAATAAATCTACCTCAACGCATGCAAAACACACACACACACACACACACACATGTACACACACATGTACACACACATGTACACACATACACACACACACACACGTGCATACATACATACACATGCTAAATACGTATTAACTTGGCACAGTGAAATATATATATATATATATATATATATATATATATATATATATATATATATATATATATATATATATATATATATATTATCTATAACTAAATTTAGGTGTAATTTGTTTGTATTTTTTAGTTAAATTTTTCGAAATAAAATTTTTGTTTTCCCAAAATTTTACTGAAAATTGAGTTTGTCGCCAAGTTGATACGATTTTTTTTCTCTTTCTA